CTTGCCCCCCCCCCTAATTTCTGCTCTTTTGGCTGCCCTGCATCCTGCCTTGCGGGATGGCAAGCAGCCCCAGAACTGCACGGTGGGCTGGAGCAGTTGTGGCTTCCTGGGACATGGCAAGCAGCCCCAGAGCCATGTGGTTCTGGGGCTGCTTGCTGCCCCACAAGGCAGGGGGCAGGGCCTCCAAAAGGGGGGGAGATAGGCAGGTGGGGAGAGTTGGAGGCTTACCTTACCTCGCTGAGGCTCAGGTCTGAGAGGTACCAAGCCTGGAACAACTTGGATTGGGTGGGTCCTCAGCTAATGGCTGGTGAAATTCACTTAACGATGGCAAGGGGGATTGCCAGGATTGCTGTCGCTAAGCGATGCGGTCACATGACATCTCGCTTTACAACTGCATTGCTTAGTGGCAGAAATTACAGTCCCAATTGTGGTCATAAGTTGAGGACTACCTGTAATGAAGACCAAAGTTCATAAAAGCTGTTCTCCATTGTTATTGCTCTCCGTTACCTTGATTTGGAGATGTCTAGTGGAATAATAAGTGTTTACCAAAACTACTACATGTTTTCTTTGGGCAGAGAATTGCTAGAGTTGACATGTCGACTTGGGAACACCTTAAAGCGGCAGGGAGTAAAGAAAGGTGACAGAGTCACTATCTACATGCCTTCCTGTCCAATGGCTGTGGTGAGCATGTTGGCCTGTGCCAGGATTGGAGCAATACACACAGTAGTATTTGCTGGATTCAGTTCTGTCGCATTAGCTGACAGGATCCAAGATGGTAAGTACTACCAATGCTGCATGTTGTTTCTTCCTCTATTTTCTTTTCAGGCTTAGTTGACCACTATGGTGTCCAAAAGTATGATTATGTCTGAGTTGTTTTTAACCACAAACAATATTCTTAACATACTGAGGTCCTCATTCTTCCAGTGCTGGCAGAAAGGAAAGCATATATCTTAGCTTAAAAAGACTTCTGCTCTTAGTAAAGCAGTAGAAACTGAAGACCTAAGAGTGCATATTTTATAATTTGACTAAAAAAGGAAGATAGTCTTTTGATGCTGATGCTCATTCTTTCTCCATCTCTTGCTCTCAAATTCTCAGACTCCAACGGACTACTTTTCCCTCCATATATGTGGCCATGGCTACAACGTAAATTAAGGACAAACTCACAAAGATGTTAATGTAATAACAGTTGTGTATTTGTTGCATGTGTGTGTGGGAGTAGTAAATAGCAGTAATTGGGTCTGGGTGAAGGTCTGGGTTGGGACCATGAAATAGGAAAGGAGAATTCAGATTACTTCCCCCTCCAATGCACACTGCTGTTATTTGTTTTGGAAATAACCCTTAAGTACACAAACTAGAAGAAATTCCCAAATACTTCTGAGCCCATTTCTAATCTGTAACAAAAAATACACTTGTGAAAATATACTCTACCCAGGGAGGGGAAGAATTTACTAGAAGAATTCTCCCTTAGAATACAAAGTAGGAGAAGCTATCATATAGCTATGATAAAAGGAAAAGCATAACTTTTCATACTATTTTGTGTGTGTGTGGGGGGGGGGGGATTGCCTTTTTCAGCTCAGTCTGAAACAGTGATCACAGTCAACCAAGGTTTGAGAGGAGGCAAGATTGTCGAACTAAAGCAGACAGTAGACCAGGCCGTGAAATTGTGTCCGGCAGTGAAGCGAGTTTTTGTTTCAAAAAGGACAGATGAGAAGATTCTCATGTCTGATTTAGATATACCACTGGAGGAGGTGAGTAATATTCCTTACATCATCTGAAGAAGAGATCCAGTACTCCACTTATAGGTTGTGTTTCCCCAGTTTCCATGGTTTATGAACTCATGGAGGAGGAGTGTTGTACTCATACACTCATTGCTACCTTTTCGTTTCTCTTTCCTTTTCTTCCTCCAGGCCACATTTGGCCTTAAGACTTAGCTTTCATTAACCCAGATTTTCCTTTTACGTCTGAATTAGAGAACTGTGCCTCAATATCGTAATATAAGTTAACAAACAAGCTTGCAATGATATGCCAGGACTGAGAGGGCACTAAGTAAGATGCCTCCCAGACTCATTTCCTTCCCTTTTCTTATCCCTTCTTTTCCCTTTCCTTTTCCCTCCTCCATGAATTTTCTCTCTTTTTCTCCATTCCCTCTGCACTAGGCAGCAATTCAGGCGCCCTTTTTCTGCCTCTTAATCTTATAAAAAGTTTGGGTGCATTTAGAGCAAATGCCCAGCATCTTCATTTCTCTAAGGGATTTCCTGCACAGGGAGGAGGAAGGCAGAATAGGTCTGAATTTGGTTTCCCTCCAAGATTTGAGTCTCTCATCTGACCCAGGGATACTGTTGTGTTTTACTGAGTAATAGTAAGCCAGAGTTCCTGGATTTTACTATATAAGGTAACTGGGTTTTTTCAGAGTTAGGGATTTACAAGTAAGTGCATGAAAAGAAGTGTGGAGAAAGTGTTGTTAGAGTGCTCATCTATGACTCCAAATTGTATCTCCTAAAATTCCTAAGGCACATCCAAATCTCTTCAAATCTCTTTTTAGCCATTTGTTAAGTATTTTGGTAGTTGTTTTAAATAGCAGTTTTGTCCTCCCAGTATTGATTGGGATCTCATTACTGGGGAAGGGACATCTAACCCATATTTTTTACAGTAGTTCTCTAATTAAAATCACCCTTAAAGCTAACATTTGCCCCATGGGGCAAAACACCCAGGTTTCAAAAATGTAGAAGAGTAAAAGAATAACTTGGAAAGTACATATTAGAGACAAGGTAAAGGTGATAATAAACCTGTCACTTACAGCCATGTCAATTAACATAAAATGAAATGAAAGATTCAGTGTGAAGTAATGGTTATTGTATTGTCCTAGGACCTAGTTACCTGTAATTAATTGCTATGAAGGAAACCAGTCTTCATTAGAGACAGAAGGAAAGAAGGAACAAGGGTTGGTATAAGCAATGCTAGCTATGGAAAGCAACTTCTTGGGGGTAAGGGGTCAAGATTCTTTGCTCAGCCTTGAGAGCTAGAAGTTTGCTATGTAAAAATGAGCATGTGGAGGCTGTGTTCCACGCCAAGTCTCATTATCAGTTTGGCCATTGGTACAGAGAGAACTAGAGAAGATCCCAGAGGTTTTGAGGAGAGCCTACTGAGAAAGATTCTCTGCTTCCTGTGACAGGAGATGATGAAAGAGGATGTAACCTGTCAACCTGCTGCCATGGAGAGTGAAGATTTACTGTTCCTCCTTTATACTTCAGGAAGTACTGGAAAACCCAAAGGCCTGGTCCACTCCCAGGCAGGCTATTTGCTGTTTGCTGCCCTCACACATAAGGTAGATATGCAGAAAAGTACATCATGGGGGTAACTTGCAATTCCCCAAGGACAGTTACATTCTGTGGCATTTTCTTTTCTTTGTTGGCTACCCTGTCCACTGTAATTCTTCATGGGGGTAGATTAAGGGTCACACAGCATTGAGAGTAAGCAAAGCCTGAGCAGGTAGCAAATCAGGCGGTAGCCAGCAGGCTATTCAAAAGTGGTTTTTCACATGCACGCTTATTGTTGTAAAATATTTAAACAAATTTCTTACGAACATTAGATTAGTATTCTTACTAATGTTTACTTTGCATGTTTACTCAGAAGCTCCATTATATTCAGCAGAATTTATTTCCAAGTAAGTATGTACAGAATTACGGTGAAATATCTATATTCTAGGCATGAATATCCAAATCAAACTCTACAGTGCTCTATGGGGCTTATTCCCAAATAAATGGGAATTGATAGCCTTGGTAGCTAGTAGTCAGTCTCGCAGATTGATCCTATATTAATGTGGAATGTAGCACCATTGTAGGATTTACTTTTGAGTAGATATGCTGGCATCAGACAAATTTACAGATCCCTTCATCATAGGATATAGTGTGACATCTCCACCTTTCCAGCATGTAAAGATTCATATGTTCCCTTTACAAGAAAAAAAAAAGCAACTGCAGTGAGATATGATCATTTAATTATAAAAACAGTTAATTGTGTTGCTGCAAATAACATTTGCAATCCCAAACTTGTATTTTTGTAAAAGCAAAGGAAAAAAGACTGGGGTATTGGTCACAGTACTTTAACTGTGTGGTTCAGCTCTTAGTTCCGAGTGCCATTAGGAACCACAAGAGAACTCTGAAATGAATTCTTGCTCTTGTCTCCCAGCTGGAAACAGCACTCACAGTGGCGCCTTCCTACTGAAGAAAAAAAAAACCAAAAACCAAACCAACCCAGAGAATGTCAAGTTTCCATTGCAAACAGAGCGATCTTTCACCCACAGTTCCTCTCTGGAATCCTCATCTAGTACAATGGATTTTGAAAGGGGAGTGAAGAGAGGGCTTGGAGCAGCATTGTTTTCAGTAACAGCTGCAATAGCAACAGCCAAGAAACTAAAAATAGTGCATTAGAGAATGTTCTGCTGTGCAAGAAGTCAGGAAGTGAAATAATAAGTGTCAGGCCACAGAAAAAGTTTCTGGATCAGTTACTGGATCAGTTTTGCAAGGCAGTTGTTTCCAAAGATACTTTAACTTTGTTCCAAAGCTGTATTAAAATTTCAGCAACTACATTCTGGAAACAGAGTCTTGGGAAATGCTGTCATTGTTTTTTTGTGGTCGGGAGGCTGAACTGTTTGACCCAACTAGTTGCCACAGGGCCTGTAATTGTTCATTAGAGGAGAGTCGCATGCTGACATCAGGAAGAAGACAGAAGAGGATTGCAATTTGCAAATGTTAATTTATATATTAAGATAGAAATCTAGAAATAATGTGTGTCTCATCATAGTTGGGAAGTCTGTGACATGGTGAGCAGACAGCCTGCTTCATTTGCTGTCTAGGTACTACTTGTGCTGTTCATGGACAACTTCAAGTTCCCTGCTGTCACTTCTAGTGATTTCTTAATCTTTAAAGCAAACTTGGATTGGAAAGTTTCAGAGGACTGTAAAGAAGAGCCCAGGACCACACCAGTTCAGCAGAAGAAACCACGATGTCTCCTTTTAGCATGAAGAACACCTGTGGAATGGTTAATTGTAGTTAGAGGCAATGCATGGAATGAAAGAGTTTGATTTAACTCTCTTAAAGCAGCAAAAGAAATATGTGTGACCAGATGGCCATGTCACATTTATTACCACTGAGATTAAAAATTGCTTTGAAAACAGGCTGTGACTCCAAAGATTATATATGTCCTTCTCCTTCACATTTGTTTTTTTTTAATTGCTACTTCTTTCATTCATTATAAGGCTTGTTCACACTTTCTTTTATCTATCTCTTTACTTCATATTAGAGTATAATACGGTATTTGAGAATATTCTATTGAACTTATATCTGTACATTTAATTTTTCATGAAAGTTAATGAAACTTTGCAAATATTGTCAGTATTATGTGAAGTTACCAAAGGTTAGGAAAAGTCCTCTCTCACTTTGCTCAGGCGAATCCTAAAAATGGTGTGATGGAAACTGGTATTCATGGTACCTCTTGATAGAAATGGCAAAGGAAGGGAAGCCCCTTTTCCTTTCTTAAATAGATGTAGTGGCTACATCTTGACAATATTGCTAATAAGGGAATCTCACATTAATCCTCAAGCAAAGTGATAGTCTCTTCCTCGCTGTTTTTTCCCAATGTGTATCTGACCATAGATAGTAGCATGTGACAGGGGGAATTGGGGGTCATACCTTAATACTGTACCTGGAGGTTACCTGATTGGGGAAAGTTAATAAGAAGGTTTGCCAGTTTTCAGGTAACTGAAGCACAGTGATACCTGGAGTATGTATACATTACATCAGCACATTGGGAAAGGAGAAAGCTGCTTCTGTCTCATATTGCCCATTTTTCTGCAGTATGTGTTTGACTACCACGACGGAGATATTTTTGGCTGCGTTGCAGATATTGGTTGGATCACAGGACACAGTTATGTGGTATACGGACCTTTGTGCAATGGAGGAACTACAGTCCTTTTTGAGAGCACTCCGGTGTATCCTAATCCAGGTAAAAAATAATACTAAGAATTTTAAAAAGATTAAGCAATGGGGTGTTGGTACAAGACAGAGATAGCCACAGTAACATATGGTTTAAATCTAATCAGTAGACTAATTCATGGCTCAGATACCTTTTATTTTATTTTACTTTATTTGTATACAGCCCATTTTCAAAGGCTTCAAGATAACATCCTTAATAATTGAATTTGTTACCTCATTACATACTATTCTTGCTTCTCTTCTCTTGTGGTCATTATCATTGCTTTTCCTGTCTTTCTTCCATCACCTGGCTTCTTCTACTGTCTATATACTTATGTTAGGGTTATTCTTCAAAATGCTATGTTTACTGGAGGTGCTGTACTAAAATTAATAGAAGCTAAAACTGTTTTTCCCTTTTCCCTTGCCTTCTCATATCTGTTAGATTACAGAAGTGTGCAGGTTAGGAGTGATGGGAGCTATAGTCCATAACAAGTGGGAACATAGCAGAAATTGTGTTTTATGGACAGAAACACTTCAAATAATAGCTTTTTACACATCATTATTGCTGTGGCAGTGCCTGCAACTAAATGCTTAATTTCTATGCCTTCTAAGTGGATAATGTCCAGAAATCACTGGTGGACTCACTCATTGCACTAGGCCTTGTTTTAACTTTATTAACACTGCAATAGCATTTAACTTTGTATTGGCAATGAAAAGGATATTCATTCTTTAAAGACTTGGAAATGAATTGTCTTTTGTGAGTGGGGGAAAAGCACTGGAAATAATGGAGGGCATGTCAAGGGATGGAATGGATGAACATGTCGGTTTTAGTTTCCCATTTTTTCCAAGTAAAATGAATTCCATTGCATTTCACAATCAGTTTGATTTTTAAAGAATCTGAGAAAAACTGAGATATTTTCATATGCGTTTTCTTTACAAGTTCATATAATATTAATTATTCATCTATTTTGTATGAACCCTTTTTATTCATGTGTCTCATCCAGAATTAAAACATGACACTTGGTCTACTTCAGCTTTATATTTTGGCGTTATATATTTGAAAAGTACAACATGTTGTAAATATGAACCAGGTAAAGGGGTTTGTTTGTCATTTCAGGGCGTTATTGGGAAACTGTGGAGAGATTAAAGATAAATCAGTTTTATGGAGCCCCAACAGCAATTCGCCTTCTTCTTAAATATGGAAATCACTGGGTAAAGAAATATGACAGGTCTTCCCTCAAAATTCTTGGATCAGGTGAGTTTTAAGCCAGCCAAAAACTTCTTCATTCTGGCAAAGAATTTGTATATATTTTGGTGAGCAGGGAGAAGTGTTAAATCCATATTGGCCTGGTTCACATACTTTGCTAAGTCGGTGTTTTTTAAACCATAATTTGTAAAAATGTTATTGAAAGTGATATGTATATAACACTAAGCTATGCACACATAACACTAAGCCAAAACCAAAACATGTTCTGGCTTAACAAAATGTATGTACCAAACCATTATTTTTTTCCTTACAAGTTACTTCACTTTTCCTCTCTTCTTTCAGTGGGAGAACCTATCAATTCAGAAGCCTGGGAGTGGTACTTCAATGTGGTTGGAGATAGACGGTGCCCTGTAGTTGATACATGGTGGCAAACTGGTAGGAAGAATGTAATTCTGCCCCCCCCCCGGCATCTTGAATTGTATATAGGCTTTTTATATAGAACTGTTATTAGTTATTCTAATATAGATATTTATATTTTTATTGTTTTAATTGTAAGCCGCCCAGAGTCACCCTCTGGGGGAGATGGGCGGCATATATATTTAATAAATAAATAAATAAACAATTTCACTATTTTTGGAGAAGTAATCGTTGCTTGATTCCTTAGGTATAGTATTTATTTGCAAAGATTAGCATGCATGGTGCCTTATGTGCCAAGAGAGATAGAGATGAAGGATTTAAATATCCTGTCCCAAAATTCTTTACAAAAACAAATTAAACAAAGACTCATGATGGTAACAGCTGAGTTACATTGATTAAGATTTCTATGTATGGGAATAGAGCTCCTATACATAGGCATATCTGCAAAAATATTCTAGTGACACAACCAGGAATGTTTTCTTTTTCTTCAAACTATGAGATCAGAAGCATAACTTGTAGCATGAACAAATATGAGGAATTTTCATTCACAAAGCAGCGATCGTAAAGAGGAGAAAGCTTTTCTTATTAGCATTCCCTCATTATTCTTCCTTCATTTCAGAAACAGGAGGCATCTGTATTGCTCCTCGACCTTCAAACCCTGAAGATGAGATTGTTCCAGCTATGGCCATGAGGGCATTCTTTGGCATCAGACCTTCTCTTCTAGATGATAAAGTATATTTTTAATTTATCAGTCAGAGAATTTATAATCCACTTTTCAACTCACATGCGTTCTTAAAAAAGAGATCAGCATTAAAGCAATAATTCTATACTATCCATTTTCCCTTTACTTTCCTTGAATGGTTCTTTCTGGAAACGACCACCTCTCTCATTTCCTTTAAATCTCTCCCCAAAAGTCTTGTTTAATAAAAGTGTTTAGATTATGTCTCCTAATACTGTTGCATATTATCATTAAACCAATGTGTAATTGAAATAATAATATATCTTTACCCTGTTTCCATTCCACCTTCTTTCTAGTTTTTCTCTGTATCTACTTGAGATTGCAAGTGTCTTATATTGGGATTTAGTGTACCTGTTCTTTGTAAAGCAATATGTACACGAGTGGTGCTATTTGAGTATTATTGCTATGTATTAGTTATACAGTACCATAAGTTCAAACATGGCTTTGCATGAAGATTTTCTGGTGAGGTCAAGATGTGAAGGCTGAAGTCTTTGTTTTATTTTAGTTCTGTGTAATGTTTTCTGGCTTCATATATTCCTGTACAGTAAACTATAATTTTTAAATCATGATTTGTTGATGAAGCCCTAGTAACCTGGTTTATACATATCATTAAGTCATAATGCATAATTTACAAGCCACTTGGGAACTCAGACTCAATCTTGCTCTAATCCATTTAGACAATGAAAAACAACACCAGTGTCAAAAAAGTAGGGAAACTGAACTGGGTAAACATACAGGCTACATAAATCAAATGTTTTTCTATAGAATATTGAATAAGAGATTCAAATATAAAGATGAAGATTACAGTGTTAACTAACATTACAAGGGTTAGATTTTGTATAAAGAAAAACCAGGCTTTTCAGCATTCAGATAAGAGTTTTGAACAACAATAGCACAAGTGCAATGGAAAATGAAAACTATAAAGGACTTTTATTGCTAGTTTAGGCAGGACATATAGCACAAGAAGTTTTTCCTAACAAAGATAGGAAATACATGATTTTGTAAAATGAACTGACTGACAAAGATGTATGTGCCTTCAGCTGCATTCTTTTTGATATAAGCCTCACTATTAATCTGAATAAATATGCAGGCCACTTCCAAAGTTAATTAATTTTATATGATTTTTTTCTCTCTCCAGGGAAATGTCTTAACACAGAATGATGTCTCTGGAGCCCTCTGTATCTCTCAGGCATGGCCAGGCATGGCAAGATCTATTTACAATGATCACCAGCGTTTTCTGGAGACCTACCTCATGCCATATCCAGGTATAGAGTAGAGTATAGATGGAAAGGGAAAATAAGAGTAATATTGTAGTTCTCAACATGGGTTAGAAGGTGTAATTCCTCCTTCTGAATCCTTGTATACAACAGCATGTAGAACCAGATTTTTTTTTTTATTATTGTCAGAACCAAACTACACAAGGCTGCTCATATATTTCAACAGAAGAGGATATATGTGGCTCAGGGTCGAACTGTGGAGTCCTTGATGCTGTCTTGGTTGTTTGCTTGCAGGTGTTTCATTATCTGACTAGGTAACACCATCAGGGTAATGAAACATCTGCAAGCAAACAACCAAGCTCAGAGAGTACCAAGGACTCCACACTCACATATTTATCAATTGTGACAATTATATGCATATTTCCTATAAAAGTAAATAGTATGAGCAAGGAGTATGATACAGATCCTAGAGGGCCAGAAGGTCTTTGGGAAATGCAGACTGGGCCTCTGCACTTATTCTTTGCGTTGTAAACAAGGATGCTTTCCTTCTAATTCAAATACACTGGAGATCTAGAGAGTAAGGAAGATGACATTGACAGAGATATGCAGGAACCATTACCTAGGCAAAAGGGGCCAAAGCATTTTTAAAGTCCAGAACAGTGAGTTAACAAGACGGTTGTCAGCCTTCCTAGGTAGTCCAGGCCAGGAAATCAACTCCACAGGAAGGCTAAAATTACTTTTATTGAGATTGGCTATAACAACAGAATCTTTCAAGTCAGATTGTGCTGTATCTCCTCCTCCTCCTCCTCCTCCTCCTCCTCCTCCTCCTCCTCCTCCTTATAGTTCAGCAAGTTAGGGAGGTGTTTGCCCGAGGTGCTTCTGAATGTTAACGCCTAGGTAATGGTTCCTGCATATGTCCATCAAGGTTATCTTCCTTGCTCTCCACGGGAGAGAGGAAGGGATTTAGGCTGGGACAGCAAGGAGGGGTGGGGCAAAAAGCAAGATTTCATGCCCCAAAGTCCTGGGCTGAATTGGGAATCTCACACTATTATACATACACACTTAATTGCTGATTAAGTGACTATTGTTGCATCTTTTTGGCCTCAGTTTTTGACTGAATTTTAATCGTTACTGATACCTCATTTCTGTGATTCCCGTGGATACTAGAAGGCCTTCTAAATACTTCCTTTTCATTAATTTATATAGCGTAAAGCTGAATGCTTTTTATCATTTCATATGCAAAAATGTAAATAGCAGCCATGCAGGAAGGTGTGATTGTGTCAAAACGATTAGAAGGATCACAGGAAGCAGAGCACGATTTCTCATGTGCTATGGTTGTGATGGTTTCTCTGAATCACGGAATAAACCCTGTGATACTTTACATAATTGTTGGCTTTCATATTTGCACAAGTAGAGAAGAATTAAGTACATGCAAGTACATGAACATATACTAAGGAGGGATAAGGAAAAAAAAACAAGTTTTACCTAGTTAGATTTACAAGGGTAAGAAAAGGTCATTTGTTTAAAAAAACCTTGAGGGACTCAGCCTTAGCTCTCTCAAGCAGCAGATAAGGGGATAAACTCTGGTATACAGTTTTATCACAGTTGCTCATGTAAAAATCATACACAGAGAACTAGATGTTAGGGAGATAAATTTAAGCCTAACTTTAGATATGTATTTTTTTTAAATTGGAGGAGAGAAATACTGTGTTGTGTACCTTGAAGTGGTACAGTAGAGGCACAGGTTTACCAGCTTAGCTGTTGGTGAAAAATAGCTGGGAATAGCTGGGAGCAGCCCCAGGCTTTCCATGGAACATATCCAACAGTTACAGTTCTGTGCAAATGTTTAGGCACCCTGGTCAGATTATATGTTTCAGTGAATGTAGAGGTTGTATCAGCTTCTGTTCACTTAGGGATTCATTGAAACATACAGTTTGACCAAGGGTGCCTAAACTTTTGTATTCAACTGTATTGCTCATTATAAAAGATCTGTTACAAAGAAGAAATCTTTTCAGAAGTTCATCTCCTTTGGGAACCCTTTGGTCTCTCTGAAAGAAAATCACTGCCTTATATTATTTTTGCCTTGTTTTTCATCCTAGGATATTTCTTTACTGGGGATGGGGCCTACCGGACAAGTCAAGGATATTACCAGTTGACAGGCCGCCTGGATGATGTCATCAATATCAGTGGGCATAGGTTAGGCACTGCTGAGATAGAAGATGTTGTGGTAAGAGACATGGGAAAACCAGCAGTCATTACAACAAAATCTTAGTAGAAGCCTAAGCCTGGTCAGCTGCTGCTATTTGAGGCTATCCCTTAAGGCTTTCCAGTCCTTTGCATGCTTCACTGTTCCTTCCACACTGACTTGAGATTGCTGAGAAACAATAAAATATGAAAAGCAAATTTGATTGCCAGAAAGATATGAACAGATGTCTGCCTCATTTTCCTTTTGGAAACTAAATTGTGGATCATGACCGCAGAATATGTGGTTTCTACTCGCAGTATTGGAATTTTCATAATGCATAATATTTGTATCCAGAATATGCAGGGCCCTAAAAATGATAAAGAATTATATAGAAATAATGTATTTAAGGGGATACCAGAATTTTAAAATGTAGTGAAATTTTCTCAGTGAATCTTCAGTAATCTACTACAATGAAAAGTAGAGGTATGCATACCTATATACGTATATAAAACTGCTGAATTACTTACTCAAAAGGCCACCAGAATAGTTAGCCAGATAATATACATCTATGCTTTCTTCCATCCACCTGACATTAATTTGCCAATAACATTACACTGTGGGGTACATTGTTCACTGGAAATACTGCTTTAAAGCATTTTCTGCAAAATAGTCTTTCTGGTTCATATTGCCATTAAAGTGGAAGCTTGTCCCATCTTGATCTACAGTTCACAGTCTCACTGGAGGTACTTCATCATGCGAGGAAGGTGTTCTATCACATTGTCACCTAACCTGCACTGGAAGGAAGGGCTGGTGCCCCAGAGCCTTGCCTTGCTATTCTATTCCTTTTGTTTTGACTACACCAGGCTTAGTGAGCCACATGTTTCCGCCAGCCTGTCAGGATCCTTGCAGTAAATTATAGACCTGTTTATGTTCCAGAATAAACATGAGGCAGTGGCAGAATCAGCTGTGATTGGATATCCTCATACGATCAAAGGCGAAGGTGGGTGAGTCAGTTTGGCTGCTAGTAACAGCTACTCCTCTAATAGGCGCTGCCTTCACTAGCATATGGAATGAATCTCCCACAGAATTTTTGTTTGCATGATGCATATTTATTGCATGCTTGGGATAGGCCCCACTCACAGCCTTCATGTGGTAACTTAATGCTGACTGAAGTGAAGGTCAAGTTCTCAAATCTTGGCTGAGAAGAGATATGGAATTCAACTGTAGTAAAATTTGTAGTAAGAAAGAGAAGAAGAATGCTTAAAGCATGAGGTTGCATGCTCTGATTCTTACATCATGGGCCAAGAACAATAAATGCACTAAAGAACAAATGGATTTGGTACCATTTTTGCTAACATAAGACTTACTCCGAAGTGTGCATAGGTTTGCAGTCTGAAGCCTCCTTCCTAAAGCATGAAGGAAATGTCAGAAGACCCAGGCAACTTAGGAAGATCCCAGTTATAGTATCTTTCCCTCACTCGCAATGGACTTACTCTAGAACTTGTGTGAGTGGTGATAACCACCTTAGCTATTTCCATGTGATCTGTACCTATGACATTGTTTCAAGAGTTACCCAGGAACTCAAAAGTAAAATTAGAAAGGACTCTTAGTTCCTACTCAATAGAAGCCAATAGATAAAGGGATTCAGCTTCTAGCAAGCTAGAGAGACTACTTCAGTGTGAAAGTCTAGTTTTGTTGATTGCTTATTTTGTTCTTCCTTTTTTTCAACAGGTGCCTATGCTTTCATTGTGCTGAAAAAAGGCTCTAAACTCTCCAAAGAGAACCTGGGCTCTGAACTTCGGAGCCTTGTTTCAAAAGAGATAGCAAAATATGCAGCACCAGACCATGTTCAGGTAACAACAGGCAAACTGGTTTTTTTCCCTAATGCACATCTTCCTTCTGCCTAACAATGAATATTTGTAGTCTGACTGAAAGAACATAAAAGCAAGAAAATTCAAAGCAGCTGGATAACTGATGCCATTTTTTTTTACAAATAAATTTTTAATAATTAGAAAAAAGTTCAGCATAGTCTAATTCTTCTGCTATCACTGATAATTTGCTCAGAAGATTTTTGTAGATTTATTTATACAATTTGCATTCCATCGATTAGCTAAACTTGCAAACCACAATGGTTTCACTGTTAAAACTAAAAAGTTAAGTATGAAACATATCTTAAGTATCAAGCTTAAGAATATAATGTTCTTTTTAAAAGAAAGCTGTAGCTAACTTAAAAAGTATCTAAAGCACTTCAAAAGCATCAGAGCAGGGATAAAAATCCCATAGCGCTCTGCCTAATCTAGGGGTTTCTAGAGGTTAAATGGACAAATTGGCTATAAAATGATTTCATTGATAAAGATATTTTACAAACACATAAATGCTCTTGTAAGAGGAATCAAGTAATTTTTCAACAAATTTATTTAAAGAAATACAACTTCCCTACTTTTTTTTTGGCATTAGTTTGCAGCAATTAAAAACACTATTACCAGGTTCATACATGCTGAGCCATCCTTTGGTTGCTTTGGTTCTGGCATAGTGTGAACCTAGCCATCTGCTTTGTAAACCAGAGTTTAGGGCTTAGTGTGTTGCGCGAATCCAGACAAGTATGACTTATTCAACAATCCATGATTAGGCAAACCATGGTTTAGAATGTGTGAATTCAACCAGAATCACAATAAAACCCCTTGTGGGAATAAATCTTTTCATCAGTCTATAGAACTTCCCGAATCTTACAGCCTCTAACTAAATTTTTCTCCAGACCTTAACTTTTATTTCATCTCAAGCTGACTTTTCCCAGCTTCTTGTGAGTGCTTGGTTCACTCTTTCTATAAATCTTCCCACTGAAGATTTACTATTTCAGAATAGGCCCTTACACTAAAGCCTCAAAGCCATCTTTGGCCTTCATTTGTATGATCAATTTGGAAAGCTTACTGAGCAAGTAATCAATTTAATTGAGATACTGAGTGTACTTTTTTTGGCAACTAGTTCTAAAGTGCTAAGATGCACCAAAGAAAGAGTATCATAGCTTCAGTTGTGTAATGAACAGCTTTTCCTCTGTTAGCATTGTACACCGGTAATTTGGTAAGAAATAGACTAGAGCAAAGTCTCCTAAATTTGCACATGCAATGAAGAAGACATGCTTGACTGTGTTTCGTATGTGCATGGGAAATAAGGTAGGTACAGAAGTGAGATTTCATAAGATTTCTAGTACAGCTTTTCTCAAATTAATATTTACAGGGTGAATTTCCTGGTCGTGCTCTAATCTTTCATTTTTCTGGTTCAGGTAGCTCGACACCTGCCTAAGACTCGTTCAGGAAAAATTATGCGGAGAGTCCTGAAGAAGATTGTGGAAAACAAAGCAGATGAACTTGGAGATCTGACAACCCTGGATGATCATGACACAGTGAAAGAGATAATTGAGGGACACAAGAAACTTCTGCAGGAAGACCAGGGCCAGTAGCCCAAATATCTTGGGTGTCAAGAAGCAACGAGAATACTACTTTGCCATAGCAGTCTTTCTACTCCTATAATCCCCTGCAGAACCAAAAGGGGAGTTTATTCACCATTGACAACAACTTATTTTCAGTGAATGGAGAGAATATAACTATAAATAACAGCTGAAGAATATGCTGCTTAATATTCTACACCACATTCTTTACTTGTCCAAACCACTCCTTAGATGATTCACCATTTTCTCCAAGGTTTATATATATTAGAAAATTAAGACTCTACCTTTGAGCAGCTAAAGTGTTGTGAAGAAAACTTCAAACTTTAAGGAAAAAATGCCATATTTAAATAGATTTATAGAGGTTCTTTATATTACACCTTATTTGGGGAGGAAAAGAATGCTTCAGGTTTCATGTGAAGATTTTCGGGAGCTTGTCAAAGAAAAAGGAGGACGTATAATTTAAAGGATGTAAGACAAAATATGTAAAAGTGCACATGTCTTCCTGCTGACCACCAGAAGTCTTCTAATAGCCTAATTCATTTTGGTAAGAGCTGGCTGTAGGTATGAAAGCATGCTTTCCATACATGAAGCAACCTTGATTATTCTGCATTTTTAAACAACTCTGCCAGTTGCAATTCTGCCCTTCCTTGTAAATTAAACATGTAGCGGAAAAACACTACCACAATTTAATAAGTGTACAGAGATACTATGTATATTTATTTTTCACATTTCTACCCTGCTGCAAGCCACAGATGCTTGGCAGCTTATATAGAATATAAAAACCAAGTAAAACATCTACGGTACAAACTTCCATAAAAACAATAATAAAAAAAAACACCCACCAAACATAATAATAAAAACAGAAGCTAAAGATGGCATGGTAAAATCAGTCTCTCCAAAACAATTCCGTCTTTAGTAGCTTCTGAAACATCAATGAGGAGGGGGCCAGCCTGATCTCTACCAGCAGGGTGTTCTGTAGCATTGGTGTTATTGAAAAGCAGTGTCTTCTTGCTTCAGCCCCTGAACTTCTTGAAAATATAGGATGAGTAATAGTCTCTATTTGCTCTGATTAGTTAGTCCAGTACTGGTTGGAGTATGTGGTCCTGCAGATATCTGGGTGCTTACTCATCAAGGAACAACTCTGGTGGCAACAGAGAACTCTGAGTATGCACAACAACTCCAACTTACTAAAGTTCAGCTTCAGTCTTTTCTCTGCCATGCAGGTCCTGGAAAATGACATTGACAGTACCCCCTCACAGCCTGGGTAATAGTGAGGTAAAACTGATTATCAGCATACTGATGATATTGAACCCTAAAATGTCAGATGACTTTTCCTAATAGCTTGATATAGATATTAAAGAGCAGGAAAGAGGAGTGACCCTCTGTGGCACCCCACACATATCACAGGCCACTGAATTGACCTCTCCACCACTGGAACCACCGGCTGAGGAAGGAGCAGAACTACTGAAAAAATGTCCTTCCATCCCTACCTTCTGCAAACAGTCCAATAAGATACCATGATCAATAGTATCAAAAGCTGCTGGAAGGTCCAAGACCACCCAATGGATGCACTATCCCATTCAGGTTTCAACAAAGGTAATCTAAGACAGCAATCAATGCTATCTCCATCCTAAATCTGGGCCTGAACCCTGACTGAAAAGGGTCCAGATAATCTGCTTCCTCTAGGATGCTGTGAAGTTGATTTACCCAATCACCACCAGATCAAAAACTTCCCCAACAAAGGGAAGGTTGGAGACTTGTTGATAGTTTTCCAGCACCACTGGATCAAAGGATGGTCTTTTCAGGAGGGAGCAGATCACAGCCTCTTTCAAGGCCATCTGGCCCCTCCTCTAATGAGGTATTGACAATTTCCTGGATCCAAGGGGTCACCACTCCACCAAACAGCAAGTGCCAAAGAATAACCGAGACAGCACTCTATCTTGCATTTCACAACTTGTTAAGAGCTGCTTATTTAACTTTATATTTATTTTTTTACCAAGCAGCCCCAACATTTTTACAAAACTCGTTGTTTTGCATCAAATGAAATCTTTAAACAGTCTGATTGAACAGCTTTGTGAACTAGACAATTGATCCATTTGTTGGCAGCTCAAAAAACAGAGGCCATAGGGTAGAGCATAGAGATCACATAGCCTCTTTCTTCCTCCTACTCAGGCAAGGAGGCTGTAGCTTTAATCTTGAAATAAATTATGGCTGTGGAAGCTGTGCCACATTTGCTGCCCTTGTGGAGATAGGCCAGCATAACTCCAGTTATGTAGAACTTTAATACGAGTCACACTTAAAAACGAGTTGCACAGGTGAAACAAGATTATTCTTTCCCTTCTGGATGAAATGTTGTACAAGGGATTTAGCATTCAGAACAATAGATTGGAAGCAATTTGTATAATAGATCAGAAGTAGTTAAAAACTCTCCTCCCCATGTTTTTTTTTTAAATTGGAAGCCTTCTTGGCACTTGTAATTTTGAAATTTCAGATCATACTTTCTCCATTAAAGCATGCTGATTCCAAGGCACTTTGACTTGAGACTTTAACTCCAATGTTCTCTGTGATCAGTTTGGAAATAGTTCAGGGTTTCTCAATTCTTGTTAGCTCCCATTTTCCTTCTCCACACAGTTTCAAAATCCAACTATGGAACTGAAATTAAATAGTAAACATAATCTGAGAACTATGACTTTAAAAAATAATTTCCTCTTATCTCCCTGTCCTCATCCCCCTTACCTTTTCCAGACTTTTGCGATGTCCCACACTAACCAGAGTCATCCCCAGTTGGGTGCAGATTCTATACATCTCATTCTCTACATCTTCTGTCAATGCACTCGTAGCTTCATCTAACACTGTAAGTTCAAACAAGAGCCCTTCACTATGGCACCATTCAAAGCAACCCACAATTTCCAATCTCCCCCTTTTCCTTATTGCTGAGTGAAACATAGCAAATGTTACCCAGCTGTTTCTCTATTTAATTCTAGCACGCCCTGGTGACAGTGACTCATGCCCTGATCACTACACAGGTAACTGTAATGTGCTTTATGTGGGGCTGTCTTTGGAGACAACTAGGGAGCTACAGCTGGTTCAAAATATGGCAGCAAAGCTGCTGATGGGTCAACCCCACCAGAATAGAATTACACAACCTATCCTGAACCACTGCATTGCCAACTGATTGGCTTTTGGGCCCAACTGAGAGTGCTAGTCATCCCTTTTAAAGCCCATCCAGTCAGCACTGTGTTATATCAGGCAATGCCCAGCCAAGATAGAATTTGCTGGCTGGTACAAACACCTAAAAAGGGCCTCTGCTGAGGGTCCCCTTACTCTGAGGACCATGAGACATGGGCCAGATAATAGTGGTGGCCCCTATCTTCGGAATGCCTCATCCCTAGAAGTGAGAATGTCCCCCTCTCTCCTTGTATTTAAGAAGCAAGTTAAAACTTGTCATTCCAGTCAGCATTCAGCCCCAAGTTTGTTCTAATGCCTCTTACATATTTAATGTTTTAGTTGTTTGGACTTCATATTAGGGTTTTAACTGTATATACCAGTTGGGTTGTTCACTGCACAGAGTCCTAGATGATTGGGGTGATTCTAAATAAATACATTAAAATACATACAATTTAAAATGTCCACCCTAAACATTCATACATTGAATGGTACATTGGAGAGTTGTCAACTTCTAAACAAGTAAGATTCACAAAAAGGCATCTTGAGTTAAGTAAATCACAGGCATTGGTCAATAAGTATTTTATGCAGCCATTTTCTTTAGAGCCATTTCCAATATATAACATAGATTTTTCAGGGGCTGACTCATTGTTAAGAGGAAAATAAAATCAGAAAGCTCCACAACTATTACACTTTGAAAGCAGGGCCACTTGCATCTCAAAATTGTTTCTGCCTGTCTGGTGCAATCAAGCAGAGTGGGTGTGTTCCAGGTCACACTGATTATACAGAGTCATCTTACAGGACCCAGGAAGCACGCCTACTTTGTTGCAGTGCCTGCCCTCTGGAATGATCTCCCCCAAGAGACTCGTGCAGCTTTCATCCTTATGCTCAGGAAACTACTAAAAACCAAGTTGTTCTCAGAGATTTCAGAACAGGGTAGCTGTGAAGCCTACTTTAGTTACATTTGGTTTATGGCTGATTGTTTTGTTCTTCTAGTTGGCCATGATCTCTATTTATATGTATTGCTTTTCTTTTTATCTGCTTTATGTTATCATGGAGTTGGGTAGCCTTGAAACTGGGTGAGTAAATAAGTAAATAAATAACATTCAGCTCCAATTCTCATCAATCCTAGACAGCATGGCTTATAATTAGAGTTGATGCTATTTGAAGTACAACATTGGGAGAGGCCCATTGGGAGAGGCCCATTCTATAACCATCAACAATAACGAAGTGGCATTTTAAACTACACAGTTGTCATCACAGAATAATGTTGAAAGATCTCCAAGTGCTTTTCTATCAATGGTGCAGCATTCCAGATTAAAGATAATGCATACCAAAATGTACCTCAGCCAAAATAGAATATCTAGGCTTGCATCCAACAATGTTGCTAGTTTAGTGCTACCAGAACTGGGTTGCAAAAATCCACAATGCCCGTTAGATAGCAGCATGAATTTTGCTGCCATCTGTGGCCATTTTGGATTTTTGCAGCCTCTAAGCCAGTGCAGCCTTTCCGAACCTGGCATCCTCCAAGCATGTTGGGATAAAACTCTCATTATCACAGTCACTTATGTCACTTGCTAAGGCTGAAATAATTATTTCAAATGTCTTTACTGTCGCTGTTTTGGTCATGGGGCAACTTTGTTCTCTATCCATTCTAATCTACTTTCCCCCTCATGTTCTGCTCTTCAATGTGCTAGAGTGATCCCTGTTCTAATCCCTCCTAGATCTCTTCAAGCACCCACTATTCCTTGGCTGATTGCACCCTCTTGGTCTGTTGCTTTTTATCAAGCTCCTGTTTCCCCAGCTCTGCCTTTCCGAAGACACTGAAACCAAAAGCTTTATAGAAAATTTTAAGGAGAATAACCGTCCAGCTTTCCAGTAGGTGGTCATATTAACTTTTTGCAGTAAAAATAATGAAGAGCCTTTGATATATGAAAGGCTAACATACTGTATCTATTACTGCATAAACTTTTGTGATCACAGACCATTGCACCAGACACATGGTCCTGTGAGAAAAGCATGATATACTGCTGTTATAGGGAGAGGGACTACACAGTGGATTGTGATCCACAAAAACTAATGTAATCATAATTTATTTAGTTTTTAAGGTGCCACAAACCACTTTCTCCAAATGTTTTCCCATATCCTTAAATAAAAGTTTTAACCCTATTATCTCCCACCCTGCATTCCTTTTCTTACCTGCATACTGGGGCTGTAAGTAGAAGAGGCGGGCAAATGACAACCTCTGCATCTCACCTGGTGAAAGAATATCGTACCTGCATCAGAGATAAGAAGCAGAACAATCCCTGTTAAGCACTATGGCCCGCTGCAGCTCTGCCCACACCATGAGCATCATTTCACTGTAAACAAAAAACAACCTTACCAGTTCCAGTCCACAGGCTGGTCCAAACCTCCTGTTCTCACGGACAAGTCCGACTGCATCAGGCATAGAAAACAACAGGTAAAAGCCAGAACTTAGTCCAGCCTTAACATCCAATAGCCTTCTCAGGCCTATCATCACAAAATCACCTTGGCTTGTTGCTATAAGCCCATGGCCAACTCCTATCTGCTCTGTGGCATCATGTCTTCACTGTAAGTCATGGAAGTTGCTGCTAGAATTGATTATGCTGGTATTATGTATGATTCCATACATTGTTAGCCAAGGCTCAGCTTTGATACCAGTCATAAACTGATGTTCAGTGTCCTCCAAACCCACCCAATATACTGAAATTCATAGTTCTTCTCTTTAAGGGTTAATCATTGGCTTAAACTATACATCTTGGTGAACCTTTTCAGCCATTGTCTTCCCAAAACTGGGATATGAACCAATTTATATCTTTTATTTCCTAGATAACTCACCAGTCCAGCCAGCTCCAGGAACCTGAGTATCCTGTCATCATCTAGAGACCCTGTGGTGCAAGAAATTACACTCATGGCAAAAGCACAGTTGTGGTTGCATTATCTAGGAAAGCATTTTAGAGGTGCTATGTCTGTTTAGATCAGCAGTTTGCAAATCTTGCAGTGCTGTGACCCCCAAAATAATATATGAATTTGTGTGACAGTCCGTCCCCATGAACAAAGCTAATGATTTTATTGAGGTTAGGATAGGCAAGAAAAAAATACACCCCACTTTTTAATTATTAACAATTAATCTGTAATTTGTGATCCTCCAGATGTGGCTGAATTGCAATTCCCAGGAATCCCAGTCTGTCTGTAGCTAAGTAGACAGACATCTTTCAACAGGAAGGTTCTGTTTCCAAGAAAGACACATTTATTCCTGCCCCTGTCTCCACTGCCTCTGGCTACACTTCCAAGCCTTTTGCAACTGGAAGCAAAAGTGGAATCAGTACAGGATTCCCCCACCACCATTCCTCTGATGTGAACCCCAGCCCAGGTTGTTGCAGCTCAGTCCTTCGGCCATCTTAGCTCTGATTTTGTGCTTATGATTACTGCCAACCTGATATCCTTTTCACAGAAAGCCCAAAAACCTTTTTGGAGAGAAAGGTTGCAAACAAGGCTCTGGGGATCTCATATGTTTACCTGGGGTTGGGTAAGCATGCAATGGCTGTCAGATGTGGGGTGGACTGAACAGACTGAGCATAGCAGGTAGATCAGGTGTAGCTGGAGCTCTATCAGAGTGCACTCCTACTCTGCTTGGAAAAGTGTGTGCATGCACAAGGCTAAAAATGTGCAACTCCCTCTTAAATTTGTTCATGATGTCCTGGGGATCATGACCCATAGTTTGAGAAACTGAGGCAAATTTATTTTTAGAAAATCTGAAAAACTAATTAAGACAAATCAAAGTAAATTATGCGGATGTCTGTTCTTACTGGTAACAACAGAATGATTCTATGATCTGTTAATTATTATGTGCTGCAGATGGATTTTAATTTCCCATAGTTACTTTCTGAACCAACTCTAGAAGCCAACTCCATTTGGAAAGAATTTAAAAATTTAGAAATGCTGCTCAGAATTGAATGGACTGGCTTTTTTATCCACAAGAATGGAGCTTAGGTAAAGGGGAGTGATACCATGATTTCTGAAACAAAATGAGTATTGTTTGAGCAATTCTGAGGACACAAAAGCACTGTAACTGGGACTGGTGCAGATTTAATACTATGAACCAGCATCATGGTATTGGATCACAAATGGCTTTTTATTTCCCTTCCCTTCCCTTCCCTTCCCTTCCCTTCCCTTCCCTTCCCCTCCCTTCCCTTCCCTTCCCCTCCCTTCCCTTCCCTTCCCCTCCCTTCCCTTCCCTTCCCCTCCCTTCCCTTCCCTTCCCCTCCCTTCCCTTCCCTTCCCCTCCCTTCCCTTCCCTTCCCCTCCCTTCCCTTCCCTTCCCCTCCCTTCCCTTCCCTTCCCTTCCCTTCCCTTCCCTTCCCTTCCCTTCCCTTCCGTCAGTTTCCAGCACTGGCTTTCCTGTAATTAAGTAAGATCATACACTCTGGGAATTGAAGAATTTGCAACCCCAACACATCTGGTGAATACAAGATTGAGAAAAGCTGATTACTTCATTATGAATTAAAGCCAACGTGTACAAGTCTGAAGCCCTCAAATCCTTGTGAGCACCTTCCAGAGAGTTCCCAAAAGTTATTAATGAAGAAAGTGATTAAATACACAACAGAAAAAAATCAAATTTACTATATTTAATTTTAATCAAATGTAAATGAAATGAAATGAAATGAAAGTTATTTTTTGTCCTGGCTCCAGCTATTACTTTTTAAAACATAGGCCCTGACATTCTATGTCTGGTCCCAGCCCAGAAAAAAACCTGCATTTCCCTGAATCAGAGAAATGCCAGTATTTAAGGAATAGCATAAAACAGATATGAGAGCTAGAAGTTGCTGAGACAGAAGCCAAGCAGAAGACCTCACATCCCATGAAATAGCTTCCAGCTTTTATTACTTGTTATTAACTTTGACTTTTATTAGCTTTGACTTTTGACTTTTATTAGCTCTGACTTTCCAAACTAACTGAAAATAGAGTACAGCTGTTTCTTAATTAAGCATCATTTTTATTTAGAAGATCTTTCACCAAGGACTTTAGACATTGATTTTAAATATCCCTTTCACTGATAAATCCCACATAATTTGCTGAGAACCTAGAAGATGTTATCCTTCATCACAAAATCAGAACTGTTTGATTATTCTCAGGGCTTTTATAAACATGCTAGTCCACCCTTTGGATTTACAACAGGCAATGATGTCCGTCATAAAACAATGAGCTATAACAGATGGTTGGCCACCAGCAGAACTTTCACATCACCTCATATTACCTCAGGGTAGAAGGGTTTTCACTGGGGTCACTCCCCATATTTAGTTGCCAAAAAACCATGCAGTTACATGCATATGTTACCAGAAGCATACTAGAGATACCCAATAAAATGGGAGGAGGGAGAGGGAAAAACTTATGGTGAACAAATTGCCTTGGAGGTCACTCATAAAGACTCATGATATATTATTTTGATAGAAGAGCCTTATCATTACTGTTCTTCCTTCTTGTCCTTTCCTGAATTTATGCACAAACACACACACACAAATTGAATTTATACCTCTTAAGAAGGTCTTTAATTTTATCTCTATCTTTCTTCCCAATTGCATTTCAGTTTAGAAGTTTTTATGTACTTTTATCAGCTTTGCTCTTTCTCCCCAAACTCAACTGACTTCTCTATAGTTTATTTTAGACTGTAAAGTAATAAACATGGCTATTCCTGTCATACTTTCATGAATCTATTTGTGGCTTTTAAAAGGAGGGGGCAGTTTCAGCCACTTTTACTGGAAGAAGAATCCTATACTTTTAAAAAATATTAAATTAAAAAAAAAATTAAGTTAAAATGATATGTTCAGAATATCTACAATAGAGACCTACATACATAATAAATAGCAGTCCTGCAGATGATTTGGAATGTGATCTCCATCAGCTCCAACCAGTGTAGTCAGCAAGAAGGGCTTTCAACACATCATCATTTAGAACATCTGGAGGGCATCAAGCTGCATATCCATGGTACAAAATTTATGCTGACTTGTTTTGATCAAGATCTGATCACAATTCACATATAATCCATTGACAGTTTCCTTTGGCTACACAACCCAAGGCCAAACATGCACATGGATGGGTACCTCATAGCCCTAAACATATTAAACACCTTTCAATGAACATGCTGGCCAATTAAGTTTTGCAGAAGAAATAGTAAAGCTACAAGGAGTTAGTCTAGCTAAATGTACTGCTAGTTCATGCAACAAAGGAATGCATAGTTGAGAAAAGGCATACAGCATGGTAGTCTCCAGTGCAATTCCCACTCACCAGAATCTGGATAGATTTCCTTTAGAGGGTATATAATCTAAATCAAATAAAGCAGACACAAATCCCAAATGAGAAACCTCACAAGCACAAAAGAGCCAGAGATAAGCAGCAATTCCCCTCCCTTACAGAACCTTTAATGAATAAACCAGGCAGGGCTCCTGGAACTATATATGGGAGTATAAAGTAATGCTAGTGCATACGGGAAGTCTAACCACCCCGACAGCCCGATTCTAACATAACTCACCTGTTCTCGTAGCGTTCCATCTGTGAAGAAAGGCCGCTGAGGCATGATCACCACTCCGTGGGGGCCAAAGAAAGTCAGCATGTGGACTTCCCCTGCACAAATCCAGGAGAAAAGTAAAAAATGCAAACCTAGAAGCCAATACTTCCAATTGTCAATAATCAAAATCAATTAATAGAAAGACCTACCCTATTTATGATCTGGATATGTGAGGGATCATCTTTTGTATTTGCCTGGTTTTTTAAGAGCTGCAGGAAATGGATCTTTATTTTGTCACATTTGCCAGGGGTTCACAATGTGGCAATTTAAGAGGGAATTTTTGATCCAGGACCTCTGGATGTACAATCTTTCCGCTTCAGCTGACACAAAGCATAAACTTTCAGTGTCAACTGAAAACATATTGGTTCATTTGAGATTTTAACAGAATTTGTACTGTTGTGTTTTTCATTGCTCTGTTCTTTTTTTAGTTTTAAGATGCGGGAATGCTATGCCTTCAAGCCTTTTTTGTTCCACCCCTTTGAGATTACTATATTCATAGTGAAAAGTAAGCAACAAAATTTTATAAGTGAAATAAATCAAAACACTCCTTCAATACAAAACAACAATAAACAATTCTTACAACTTGCTAAGGAAGCCTTAGTTAATTCCTGTACTGCAAGTCATGGAGGCAGAAAGAACCAGAACAATGGTGAGGAGCAACAGATTGTCTATCTACTGAATTCATGACCTGGGCAAGATCTGAAAGGTCTTCCTAATTCATTGAACCCACCTGCAATCCCTATATAACAACCTTCCCCAACTTGGCACCCTTCATTTAAGTTGGGACTAAACTCCTATCAAAGGCCATACTGTGAACTCTAGAGGGCATCAAGTGTACTTTTACATTTCTGAATAATCCAAATTCACCTTTTGCCCTGTTAGCCGGGCTATGAAGGACCAGCCTGCTGAAAGGCCTCAAAAGCACCAAAGCAACATTTCTGGGAAGCTGAGGCACTCACCCTGCTTGCACTCCCACAGGCCTCCAAGAACACGCAATAATGATGTCTTCCCTGTGCCTGTATTCCCAGTAATCAGGAGATTGTTCCCCTGTGTGATTCTCAGGCTTAGGTCCTTGATAAGCAGCTTCTTGGAAGGGGCAGTAAGAGAAACTTGCTCCAGAACAAAAGCAGTGTTGTTTGAGATCTTCCGCTCTTTAGAAATGCTGAAGACATCAAGCCCCCATAAAAAGAGAGGAAAGGTAAGTTAAGAACAGATAATGTGAGCATGGTTCATAGAAAGAGGGTGTAATCTATGTGTAATTTACCACTTTATTAGTAAAATCTTGTGTAGCCCAAAAGAAACAAGGACACCCCCCAAATATTTTTTATAGAAACACTTCTCAGCTGTCAGCCATTTTGGGCCTCTGCTGTTGCTGCTAAAATGTGCAGAGCTTTTTATACTTCTTGGTGTAGGAATCCATAAAACTCCTCAGGTACCCATATGTTCCCCCAACCCACTGAAAGCCCTGAGTAACCTTTGGGAATTTAGAAGATGTCACCATTAGGACCTGGCAGCCTCTTTATAAAGGTCAAAGTATGCTATCCCATCTCCTTTTCATCCCCTTTACTTGTCCAAATCTTAGTCAGCACCAACTGCTACAGCTCTCAGGTTCCACTTGGCAGTGGAGTGTGCGCCCTGACTTATTTAATTATTTAAAATGTTTAAACTGCCCAACAGCTGAGGTTCTCTAGGTGGTTTACATTAAAACACTAAAAATTTACAATTTGAATTAAAACAGATACTGTACAATAAAAGGCCAAACAAAAACACCATATGAATTAGGCAGTTGCAAGGTGATCATTCAGAATCTAAAACAATATGAATTAAAATAAAATTAATTGCCAGTTAAAAAGTCTGGAAAAATAGAATGGTCTTCACCTGGTGCTGAAATGAGGCTAGAATGGATGCCAGTTGAGTCTCTCTTGGGAGGAATTCCATAAATGGGGTGCCATACCCCCTCTTTTTATTCTTACAAGCATTCTAACAGTTACAAGACAGGGGGATGGATAATGAACTCCCATCACCCCCATTCCCACTAATTATCTACCCCCTAGGTTTATTTTTGACCCAGGAATGTGATTGGGAGCCACCTGGCATTTTTAGGCACCTGACATGCAGCAGGTATCTTTGGCATCTCAAGTCCATAAAAAGAATCATATATCACGTAAAGGAAGGCCTCAGCCTAAGAACCTAATACTAGGTTCTTACAGTCTGACCTGATATATGGCAGCTTCCTATGTCCCTGACTTCCTATATTATCCTTGGAATTTTCCAGGATTTGTTTCAAATGCTCAGTGAGATTATTTTTCTGGCAAACCATCACAGAAGGATACTTAAACTGGAGTATTTCTCCAGTGGTATGGCCAAGATATTTAGCTATAATTTGTATGATACCCTTCCCCAAATAACCAAGGAGCACCATGGCATAAACACAAAGTTGCCATCCCACATCCTATAGCTACTTACCTGCTGAAGTCCCATTTGTCTTGTGATTCACTATCACTCTGTTTCTTGGAAAGGTTCAGCAATACTTCCTGCAACTCCCCAATTCTACAAAAATCAGTTTTTTTAGGGAGGGAGGGAGATGAAAAAAAATGCTTAAATTATATTTCTTTCCTGAAGGGTAAGAAAAGGTTTGCTGAAAAGAGGTGGTCAATATGTTGATATATTGCAGTGGTTAATATTTGTGGAGTTCCAGGGTCCACCCGAAATGCTGTCCAAATATGAAATGCCCTATAGCCTAAGATAGGTGCCGACCGAAACTACTTTAGAAGAAGAAAGTAAGATTCTTTCCCCTGCTGTTCCTCTAGCACTTCTAATTACAGATGTTCAGCATCTTAGGCCTGAAGAGGAAAGAGGCTACTTTGTAGGTCTTTTTTCTTTTAAAAGATATCTGAGTAGAGACTCCATGAAGACCCACTTTTGTGGCCTCAAAGTGAGGAGAGTGAAAACTCTGCCCCCCCCCACTTTTTATAGGGGAGCTTATGTGGCAAAATAAGCCTTGCAGGTGTTTAAGATACCAATTTCATCCCTTACAACTCCTGAACTCTCATTCCAAAAGGAAATCTGGCCCTGTTCATCTTTGGAATGAGGCCTTCAAACCCTAGTGTAGTCCTTGAATTGACAAAAATCATACACTTCTGGAACAAACAGTGGTGGATTCCTTTGTCCCTCAGGAGCTCTAGAGACCCAGAAGCTTCTATGCTATTTGAGTACCACCCAAACAACCCAGAGAAAACAATGTACCTGTGTGTGTAGCCAGCTACATCGGACACTGTGGTGGAGAGGTCAATTAGGAGGCTGAAACAGTGAATCAAGTAAATGGAGACAAAGGCATTCTGCAAAGCAAAATCACATGAAAACAGAGTTAGGCAAAGATGGGGAAACACTCCACAGGAGAAATGCAACTATAACTATATTACCCTGCTGCTAAGAAATCATTCCTTGATAATTTCTGACTCTTCTGCTGCTCACAGAATTCGTCATCTATGTCGCAGAGAAAATTAGGACATTTTGACATATTTGGGTTGCCTTGAAAATCTTGTAAAGAACCAAACTGGTAATGAAACAAGGGCTGCATGGCCTAAAAGCTCCTCAGACTGCTACAAAAAACCTCCCATTGCTCCTAAAGTTTTGGTAGCCAAAGCCCTGGAAAGCAATCCAAGACAGCAACCCAAGTGTTCCATAGTACAGTGAACATTTATCAAGTCTCTTATAATCACCTCTGATTCTCTGATAATTGAGAAAATTACTTTTTGGAACTCCCTTAGACTAACATACTTAAGGTAGAATTCTATTTGCTGGGACATTAAAAATGCAACACTGGGACTCCAATTACCCAGGAATTTCTGCCAGGTACAAAGTTACTCTGAAACATGATGTTTCCTGGCTTCTGTCCCTTAAAATACTCAGCCCTGCACCAATCTGATTCTGAAAAGTAGGAATAACTAAGAGCAATTATGAAATGACATGAAAAGACAATTAAGGCTGGCAAAGAAAATAAAAAAAGCTGATCACAACCTCCCAAGTGCTGGGGTCTGTACCCCCCCTGCCCCCTCATTGATCGGGTCAAATTAACAAGTTTTTCCTCTCATTAGGAGGCTACTCCTTCCTCTTCCAAAAAAAAAGTCTTGTTATATAGTAAGGAATACAGGTCCAACTATTTTTAGATCTATGTGATTTGTGTCAAACAGGAATTTAGTTCTGGCAACTTTCCTTGGAAGGGTCACTTAGTTATCTCTCCTTTTCAGAATGAGGGCACCCATTCCATGACAGGTGAAGCAATAAATATGCCTACATGAAAGCTGTATGACAAGCCAGTTAGGTCCTAACAGTCAGCAGTATATACAAACAACATGCATCCTATGGCAGGAAAGACTAGGTGCTCTTACTGAGTACGTTCTAGGCTTCTCCTTGATCAGTAAGCAATAACATCCCTAACACAGGAGTACTGGATTCTTCCACATAATACCGATATATTATATTCATTTCTGTAAAACATTTTTAATTTGTGGTACACTGTGGACTGAATTATATAGGAGAGGCTAGAACTTGATTAGCATTTCTTATTTCTATAAAGTTGGAAACAGTGTACTTTGAAAATAGTGTGACTTTCAAAGAAAAACAGAATGACAACAGCAGTATGGAAAAATAACTGTAAATTAATGCTCTGGGATGTTCCTGTAGAAGCCTAGAACTTGATATGAGATGCAAAGTTCAGAGTCGCTCTGAGTGAAATGGGCGGTGACTAAATTTGAAATATAAACAAACAAACCTGGGTATCTTAGCTTTTCACATCCTTTAAAAGTAAATGAAACTCCTAGCCTTTATGCAGGAGGAGACAGATTTGAAATATTTGAGCATAAGATAGTGAAATCACAGAGGAGATACTGAATAGATTAATAGCATCAACAATTTCAGTTGTAGGATTTATATACTGATTATGTGTCATCAAATTGATGTCAACTCTTAGCAACCACATAGACTTTCTTCAGGATGATCTGTCTCAAGCTGGGCCCTTCAGGTCTTCCAATGGTGCACCCATTGCTGCTGCAATCAAATTTATCCACCTTGCTGTTGGTTGTCCTCTCTTTTCTTCCTTCCACCTTTCCCAGCATTATGGGCTTCTCAAGGGAGCTGGGTCTTTGCATCAGGCCCAAAATATGATAATTTGAGCCTGGACATTTGTGCCTTGAATGAACATTCTGGCTTGATTTGTTCTATAATCCATTTGTTTTATTTCCTTGACTATCCATAGTATCCTCAAGAGTCTTCTCTAACACAAGGTTCAAAAAGCATGAATGCTCTTTCTATCCTGTTTCTTCAAAGTCCAAGTTTTGCTTCCATAGAATGTCACAGGGAAAACCATTTGAGCTGGAACTTCTAGCATCCCTTATTCCCTGTAGGCTCTAATCTGTGATGGATGATCCTAAGTATTATTTTGCTAGCATGTGAAATTAAGCATAGTATATGACAGTTTGCACATTCTGTTAAGTCTCCTTTTTTTGGTATTGGAATGTAGATTGACCTCTTCCAATCTGTTGGCCATTGTGTCAGATTTGCTGGCATAGCTTGGTAAGACTCTTTACTGATTATTATTCTTGCCATATTTTTGTAGATATTCCATCAATTCCTGTAGCCTTCTGACTTGGTAATCACCAGAGGGCTGATTTTAGAGTATCAGACAACTTAGAGAAGTTACTCTAAGTAGGGAATATTTTCTAAGGAATCTTGGATATTGACATCTCTATTGACAGAATTTCAATATACTATACTCCTTCCATATTTATTTTGTTTTTGTTATTTTGTTTGAATCGCATAAAATTTGTCCATTAGTATCGTTTTGCATTCCAATTTGAAACTGGAACTTCCTTCTGAGTTCAGTGTTCTTTTAGAAAACTTTTCTTATTTTTCCATATTAGTTTCATTTTTGATACCTTTACAAAAGTTGTAACACTGTTTCTTTCTCTACTAACAGCTCTCTGAAATTCTTTGTTAAGTTCCTTCCTGAGATCTTTGTTCTTCTTGGCTTTAAATTCTATTGTTCTAGTTAACACAAAAGGACAATCTTTCACCCCAGAAAAACTGCAAAAACTCACCTTGCTAACTAAGGAGCTCAATTCTGTGGGATTCAGATCATCATATACTCCATTGAATATGGGAATGGCAATTACCACGTAGCTCAGGATGCTGCCCAAATAGTCAAAGGTGTTGATCCCAACTGAACAAAACACATCAGCATGAGATAGTGAGTAAAAGGGAGGTTTTGAACAGGTAATAGGATCCAGATCTCACCATTACTGGGCCCAAGTGCAGAAAGACAGAAACTTTTTTCACATGGATGAAAAGTTTATTGTAGAGCACTACATTCAGTTATCTGACCACCTACCACTGAATCTAGATTGAAAATGACCTTTATATTTGCACAACAGCAAATTATTCCATATCAACAAGATTGCTTTAGCAGTGCGGGCCGAAGCAAATCTTTTTAGTTCAATGTCATTCTTACAGCGTATTTCTCCAGTCCTTACCTTGCTTTTTAAAATAACATGGAGTATTGCAGAAATCATGCAGCTGATTTGCAGTTATTCAAGAAACAGAATGACTCAGGTCTGTCTTTTGGGGGGATTTATTAGTCAAAGGCTAATTAGACTTTGATAAGGAAGCCTATGAACACAGACCACTTTGTCCCACCTATACCCATGATCATAGATCAGCTACTCATAACATATGTTTGGTATTGTGCTTATTTCAGCTTGGATATTCTTGATCCAAACTCAAGTTCTGATATTCAAGAAAATACATGTCAACAATGCAGATGGATCTATCCATTATTCTGAATAGTAAAACGCTGAGAACACTCTGTTGGCAGAGCCAGCAAATCCTGTAAGATCCAAATGCTGCTTGATTACTTTCTTCAAAAACTAGCTGTATCCTGCTTTAACACTCACCCTGAAGGCTGTCTTACTATTATCACCTTTCAGGAAAGCAAGTACAGAACCCAAATATTTCCATTTACATCTGGATGGGCTTGGAATTCATCTTCTATCTTGGAGTTGGCTGATGCTTGACTACTTCATTGTTTTTTTCCTTATTCTTTGTCCCCAAAATATTTCCCATATGCAAGATTTAAATCCAGAAGTTTCTCCCTAGTGAAGCTTCTTTAATCAATGTACAAGTTAAGAGAATAGAATACTTCTCCTTACTGTACAACCATAGTTCCTTCCCCATCAGTTCCCTCTGTGTCTTCAAAAGATTTTGAAGCTTGTAGTTGGTTCGCATGTGTTCAACTTCCCCAGCTCTGCAAAACAATACAACAAAAGGACATGGTCAGTCTGGTAGAGTGGTCCTTTCTGCAGACTCACAGTTCCAAAGCTGTGGGCTAGGAAACCAAATACAGCGTTAGAAGATGAAGAAACGTAGGGTGATCCTCCATACATTTTCATGAGCTGAGTCTCCAAAAGCTGTTAATGGTGGTTTAGGTCAGTGTTTCTCAACTTCAGCAACTTTAAGGTGTGTGGACTTCAGCTCCCAGAATTTCCCAGCCAGCAATGTGCTGGCTAGGGAATTCCAAGAGTTGAAGTCCACATGTCTTAAAGTTGCTGAGGTTGAGAAATGCTGCTTTAGGTCACAACAGTCTGAATCACGCCTGGAAGAAAAGAGAGAGCTGGGACAAAACAATGTCATCTTCTGCAGGTGGAAAGAAAACTGTGGACTGAAAAAGGACAGAAAAGAAGAAAGGAGAATTAATGATATAGGGGAGGGAACTTTGTAACCATTAAGGTTGGCAGGCATAGAGCCAATAGTCAACACCATAGTTTGTCAATTATGTTCTCCTACCAAAAAAAAAAGAAAAAAATTGGAAAAAGGACCCCCATTTTCTGCTTTAATTCAGAGTATCACTAAACTACCGCAGTTTCAGCTTCCATCATCCCCAGGCAGCATTTATACCCAAACCACATTGAAACACTGCCACTAGTGACCTCCTGTGGCAAAAAACAGAAGGCCAGTGGGCCCTGTCTATTCCTTCTATTTTGATCTGCTGCACTGTTCCTTGTCTTTTCATCAGAATGTCCCTCTAGTCTAGTTTACATATATTTCCTGAGCAGGAGCACTTCTTGCTTTCACAATTTCAGTCTGCCATAGGAGTTGAGTAACTGAAAGTAACAGTATTAAATATGGGCAGGAAAAAAACCTTGATTCTCAGTTGTGTCTTGATCTCTCCTCCTTCTGATTTAATTTGCTGTGATGCAAGAAGAGGCATAGAAGATTTGCTTCTGCACTTTAAGGAAAAAAAATCAAAACAAATGACAGAAAGTACTGCACATTTCAGCCTTGATGCTTATGCTACAAAGAGCACGTAAGTGAGCCGCATCCACAAAGTTTCAGCATGGCTAACTCCCTGCATATCTTTTGGCACTTATGATTTTTGAAAAGATAACAGTTTGGCTGGATATATTTACAGACTTGCCCATGATTAGAAACCCTAATAAGGCAAGGGAGGGAGCTGCTGACTACCAATGATGGGAGGAAGAAAAGATACCATGGGAGGTAAGAGAAGGAGCTCAAAACTGAGAAGGATCATTCCAGACCTCAGAGGAGCTGATGGCCCCCATCCTTGGTGTAATATCAAATATGTTTCTCACCCCTCTTTCCTGAATTGGTGGGATCAAGCCTTCACTAATTATGGCTAATGCCAAAGACAGATAAAATGTATTGTCCTGAGTAGCTCAGACTGGAACTGTAGCTAGGTAATTTATTTAATTTTTATCCTGTTGCAATCCAATGACTCTTGGAGGTTTACCTGATATGCTAGTGGCAGAATAAGAGGCTTTCAGAATAATGCTGGAATGGGAAAGCACCAAGAAAACATTACTGAAGTCTTTTGGCTTGAATTCTGATCAAAGGGGTACAAGGAATAACAATGAGCAAAACCAGGGAAGCACAGAATAGGTTTTTGCTAGGTAGAGAGTACAGAGGCTGGTTTTTTGTTCTTCAGCACATCATTGAGAAATTTATGATTGTGAGAAAGAAAGTTTATATGGTTGATTTAAAAAAGCATATGATCAAATGAAAAGGCTTGAATTCTAGAATGCTTTCACAAGTACGGAAGTAAAGATTGGTTGCCGAATGTGATGAGAGTTGTATGTGATGAAAATAAAGTGTGCATGAAGATAAATGGAATGCTTAACAAACAGTTCAATTTTGAGCAGAGAAAAAAAAAGGGAAGGGTGATGAGCTCTTATTTGTTAAATTTATTTATGGATAAATGCATAAGGAATATTTGTGGTAACAATGGAGGCATATTCGTTAGGGCCATGAATGTATATATACTTTTGTATCCAGACTATGCTGGGCTGCTGGATAGCAACCCAAATGATTTTCTATTAATATTAACCAGATTGTACCTGTAATAAGGAGTATGGATCTCAAAAATATATATTATCGAACATCACATTTTTTGGAAGATGAAGTGAACAATTGCAAGTGTTAAATTAATGGTGAAAAACTACAGCAAGTGTATGTATTTTTATTTGTATATTGTGGCAGAATGTTTCCTAAAGATGGGAAAATGGACAGAGAAATTTTAAGACATGCAAATAGTGGCAGAAAAGTGATGTCTCCTTTTCCTTTGTTATGAGGAATGAATGTTTGTTAAGAGATGAAAAAGTGGCCATCCCTGTATTGTGAGTATGACTCTGCCCACTTTGTTATATTAAAGGGAGAGTTGGTTACATCAGGAGAAACATAAAAGCAGTTGAATGCCATGAAAATGGGGTACTTAAGAAATGGTTTTGATAAAATAAGAAAAAAACAGGCCAAGAATCAATGGGTGCTAATTGTACATGGATTGAAAGGAAGTTCAATAGTTTTTCTTAAAATTTGTCTGGAAGTTATTGGTTTACACATTTTTAACATATTAATAATTTATTAAGTGATTAACTTAGTTTTGAACATTTAAGTAAGTCTAACTTTTATCAGCATTTTATAACTAATATTTTATTTCAGTTTATCCTTCTTTTAGTATTTTGATTATCTTAAGGATTGGACTTTTAGTCTACATAGCATCTACTTAATCTTCTTTTCTTGGTTCTTAATTTTTCTTGTATATTATAAATTTTGTTATTAAGTTGTATTAATCACTTATCAATGACTAAAATTTATTGATTTGATTGATTGACTGAATAATATGAAAGAACTATGTTGAGATGGTTTGAGTGAAGTATGAACTGCAAAACAATATATGAAAGAAGAGTGAATGGGCTGAGAGGAAGGACAGGACCTGGTCAGTCATGGTTGGATGGAGTTGATATGATCTTCAAAAAGAAAGTTTAAAGAAGAAAAAGTAATATGTGAATTTGTAAATGATGGAAGCAAGGATAGTTTGCAAGGACAGAAAGGTATGAAAAGATATGGAATTAGTATAAATTAATTTTAGTAGTATTTTCCTTTCCTGATCATATGACTTTAATTTCCTGGCTTACTATTTTTACTCCCTCCCTCCATTCATTCCTTGTTATGAGGAATGAATGTTTGTTAAGAGATGAAAAAGTGGCCATGCCTGTATTTTGCCTGCATTTTGTACAATACTGCTCACCCTAAAAGAGAATACAGTGATGGTTATCTATGTATGTATGTATGTGTGACTTAAGAAAAGTGGGCTTAAGTTTAAAAAGGAGAGAAAAGTATTTTCCACTATATAGCATATGTTCATAAACAGATTCAATGACATGAAGGGACGTGAAGAAAACTATTCTGGAAAAATGACAACTAAATGGAATACACAATTTTCTTGCTTTTGAAGACTGTAAGGAGATACTAAAAAGGGGGGAAAGAGATATTACCTGTAGAAAGCAACAGATTCAGCATTCACCCGCAGTTGCATATGCTTAAACCTGTTGAAAAGAAGGAAAACATTTTCTTCAGTGTGCGACACTTTCTTAAATGAAATAATCAGAATTTCATAAAAGCCCCTTCATAATTATCCCATAGCATAATGTTACAGATCCAGTCAGAAGTACAGGAATAGGTGCAAGCATTGTGCAGCATCTTAGTAAGAAACATCAAAAGATTAATAAAAGTGACCTGTCTCTTCTCTTTCTTAGCCACACTAAGGATTTTCTCAACATGTCACAACTAAGCTGGGGTATTAACATATGTGCAAAGGACACCATCAGTCTTTTTGGATTAATTCTTCCTAGATGTGAACCAATTAATAAGATCTGCTGAATACATTCACCTGAAATCACCTTCAAGCTTTTCCTGGTGCACCAGTTTTGAAACAATGGGACTCATTAGGAACTTGTTAACAATTGTCCCAATGATAAAATAGCCAAAGATGCTTAGAGGACCCAGCCAACCAGTGCTAAAAGAGAGAAATGGAGAGAGGTTAGCAAACCTATCAGTAGGAGGGTCATTTTTACAACACTGTAAATGGGCAGCAGTTATTAGCATAGCAGTTGTTACACTAATCATATACAGGTGATCCTCAGTTAACCACCACTTGTTCAGTGACTGTTCAAATTTACGAAGGTGCTGAAGAAGTGGTACTTAACGACTGGTCCTCGAAGTTCTGGCCATCACAGAGCTCCCATGGTCACATGATTGCGATCCTGGCGTTCAGCAACTGGTCCGGATTTCCAACCATCATGGTGTCCCATGGTCACGTAATCATGATTTGTGACATTTCCTACTGGCTTCCCACACAAGCAAAGTCCATGAGGAGGCCAGTAGGAAGTTGGAAGTTGTGGTCACATGAGCTGCTTGCTTAACGACCTGTGCTAATTCACTTAATGATGATAACCGGGGACTGCTGGAACTGCCGTCGCTAAGCAGTGCAGTCATGTGACATCACACTTTAGGACTCTATTGCTTAGCGATGGAAATTCTGGTCCCAATTACTGTCATTAAGCAAGGACTACCTGTAGTCATAGAATATTTACTAATACTGTATGGTAAGGTGGAATAGTAATGGCTCTCCAAATGAACTACAACTCACAGCTAACATGGCCACTGATGAGAAATTATGGGAGTTCAGCAACAACAGACTCTCTAACATCAATATATGGCATAGCAATCTCTGCCCTCCCCCCAAATTTTAAGCTGAGAGAATTTTTCATGAACTCAGTATATTATGACATGAAATTTGTGGCCAATAATTTGAAGCATATCTAATTACCTGCTATACTGGCTATACTGAAAGATGGTAATATCCATCTTTCCCACCCCTGCCTCATGACTTGAGATTTACTAGTGGTAATGCTGCTTTCAAAAGTAATAGAAGATTGATCTCAAGCTATGTGATGGAAGGCATGAGCGAGGAGGATCCTGGAATGGAGCTTCAAGGTTGCAGGGAGGGGGAGAGACATTCCAAGTATCTCCTCAGCCCCCAACTGGAGCGTGTGAAAGTGAAGAGAAGGAGACTGGCTCCTCTCTAAGGGATTCAGGGTTATAGTCGCTGTTGTTCGGGGTTAGAGTTAGTCTGGCAAGATTCTGTCTAGTAGGTGTAAGCTAATAAAGTAACTGAGCTGTTCCTGGACTGTCTCATTGTGGTTCTTGAGCTGAACCTGACAGCTGGCAATATTGATTAGATGCCATTAAGCAAAGTTGAAATGTTACTGTACAGAGTTCTGCCGAACGGAGACTCTCCAAGTTTACAACCCACACTGAGAAGCAAATGATGGTCAGGTTATTTTGGTACCTGAGGCTGAAAATTCATCAATGCCATTTCCCTCCATGGCATTAAAAATACAATAATATTAAATAAAATAGCATTTTGGTAACTTTTCATAGCATCCCAAACTGACTGTATGAAGCAGCTCTAATGTCACCTGATCCTGTGAGAAGCTTATACAAATTCAGCCCTTTCAACTGTATTCAGAAGCACTGCAACACTTAAGCACTACTTCAGTGTGGTCTCAGTTATCCAATATGGGTGGCTATCTAGGATTAGGTGAAGCTGACAAATGCTCTTTGCAAGGCATTTGTACAGTTGCCAATCAGTTTCTAGATGCTCATTTTGTCTCCAAGCTAGAAACACCAAGTGAGAGCTTCCATTCCACTCTTTCTCATTCCCTTCTAATCCTGCCATTTATTATTCATTGAGATGTAAACATATCCTATCTGAAGACCTGCTATAGGCAAAAATAGCATTTTGAAAAATTGTTGGAAATAAGCATAGGGAACCAGGCAGAATACCATAAACAAATCCATCTTGGAAACCACGTAAGTCTTTTAAAATGACAAGAAACATACAGTACTTGCTCTTTCCAGTCCTTCCTCTTTCCTCCCACATAATCTTTGTTTCCCATGTTTAAAAGCCAAACTGTTTACATCATCTTTAAATCTATCCTTCCCACATAATTTGTACTTGTACCTTGAATTCCTTATCTATCAGACCAATCTTTTCCAGTAGAGTTTTAATACTCTCCAAGTCTAACTTTTAGCCATCTTCCCTAATTTTTTCCTGAGACCCCAGTCTTTCCCAGTCTGGGCACTTTTCAGATATGTGAACCAAGAATCTCCCAATCAGCACATTTTGCCAGAGTTTAAATCCCCTCATCTCAAAAACACGCAAGCTAGGGAGGGATTACTTAGTCTTAGAGCATATCATCCTCTCTATACTAATATCAGTAGGTCAGTGGACAATATTACAACCTATTTGATAATGACCAATTTGATTTGCAAGCCATTCCCAACACACTGTAATCCTAGCCTTGGTTTTCTCTGCTTTGTCCTGACCAAATGAAGATTGCAATGCCTCTCAGGTGCAATCTATGACTGTTGAATGAGTGTGAAATGTGAGCTGGTGTGCAGGGCCCATGGTGGGCAGTCAGTATCTGAAATGCACCAGAGAAGAAACACACTAGAATGCATGGGAAAAGGGGATAAAAAGTAGTTTACTGAGGTTGCAGGGCAGCCAGAAGGTTGTGGGTGAGTTTTTTTTTTTTTTTGCTGCTTGCAATGAGCCAATCCTGGACTGCAGTCAGTATCATGCAACTATCAGGGGGTGGTCCAGTAGCTAGCACAGGGGGAAATCCCTGTGACAGGATTCACTGCAAGCAGGCTCCTCCTTATCGGAACCACTTTCCTACCTGTAAAAACATTGATAGGTGTAATAAGCAAGGGTGAAGGGCGAGATGATCAGCTTACTGGCCATAGAGCTCAGCTGTTTGCAGAATCTCTCCACATCTTGACTGATTCTCTGGTCTCTAAACAATTGTGCAATAAAGAGAAACGTTACCCTTACAGGTACCACTGTGACAAGAACAGCAAAGGAGAGAAGTTAATGTGTTAGGAACAAAATGGTTAATTCACTGTACCAGGTGCTTTAAATATTTGTACCAGGCAAACCACTACTGAGTAAGATCATGCTAGGTGTCTGTTAAAAGCTGGAACATCATCTGCCCCCTCACAGATGCCTATGTGGTAGGTTCAACCACTGCACAAAACCATTTTTTTCTGTTTTGGTTTGCTCTATATGAATTCAGCCATCATAGTTTGCAATTTTTGGTTTATGGCTTATGTTGTGAAAACCCAGCCACTAAAGCTTATTCTACAAACAATGGTTCAGAATGGTTGGAAACAGTGACTCGGATCATAAATGTCTCATGGCTAGAGTACCAGTTCAGCAACTCATAGCTCTTAGGAAATTCTCTTCTCTCTTTCCTCAGATGTTACAGAGTCTTCCAAAAAAACTATCTTCTTAGCTTCATGAGCAGGGATGGGGTAGAAAGCAGCACTTCCCTGTCACAATACAAGGAAGCCAGTTGTAAAGGAACTATTTTTTATCCTGCTTTCTATTGTTTTAGTATTTATTCTTTTAACTTCTCATCAGCTGCTCAGATAACATAGATCAAAAAGGAACTGATTAAGCTCTAATTCATATCTAATGGCAAGGGTTCTGAATACACAAAGAGAGATTGTAGCATGATCAAAACTTTTAAGAAGATAGTAAAAATATGTCCTAAATTCTAACCAGTTTATTGCAATCAGCATTATTTTTAGGAAGTGAAACAAAAGCCTGGCTTTTCACAACTTCATTTGCACTGTTTTAGAAATGCATCCATGGTAAAATTAGATCCAGCATGATAAACTGATAATGCATTTTTTATAACAAACTGTTCTGACATAGTTGCAGTTATAAAGATCATAGTTTTTTTTTCAATTAACAAAAGGAACATTTATATGAATGGTAGACAAGTATAATTAAAAAAGATTATCTCATGTTATTCTCAAGACTTTCCCAGAGCCTCCCATTTTTTCTATTACAAACTATTTACTATTCTTATTTTATAACAAAAAAAAACATTTTTGTTCAACCCTGAGCTACAGATATTCTCTTCCATTGAAAAACCAATATTCCCTTTACTAAGAGAAATTTGGTTTATTTGATAAAACTGATTTAGCCATCTCAAATAAAACCTTGGTATACTTGTAGTACCCCGTTTGTAATCCTACCATTAATGATATCTTAGAAGTCATCCACAAAATTACATAGCTGCATGTTTAGCTGTTCTTTGTTATCCTATCCCAATGTTATGGACAAAATCTTACTCACAAAATATGTGTTCAGCTAGAATCTATGTCCACTTACCTGTGATGAAACATACTCCTGAGTAGACATGCATTAGATCAAAATAATGTACAATGAACGTGACTCTTTCATATCAATATTATCATTAATCCTGTTAGTTTCTGGGTCCAATTCGAAGCGCTAATGATCACTGTCTTTTACAGTGCCACACCCTATTCCACCCTATTCCACTTTCCCCAGACTGACTCCACTTGGCTGGTCAGTTCATCCCAAGGGGGCCTGCTGAAAATCCCCCTCCCCTGTGGGGCTCATGGGACCTCAATGTATTATGGGATATGCTTCCCTGGAGGTACAGGCAGTTTCTTCCCTTCTTCTACTCTAGAAGATCATTAAGAACTTCCTATTCCATCAGGCTTTAGCTCTAGCTGATTGGTTATAGGTGTCTATCTGTCTATTTGTTTTTATATTTTGTGACATGTCATACTGTTTTTCTGTTATATCATTTTTCTCAGGTTTTTCTTTGTTGTACACCACCCAGAGCAAAGAGATGGGAACAGTTAATTAATAAGGTAAATAAATAAATGCCAGAAACCAAACCTGCAGCTGACTCAGATGCCACCTCTGTCCCCATGACTACTCTTGTAGGATAACATCCCAGCCAGTCAGAGGAACAAATACTTGATTATCTTCTGTCAGCAATGCCCCACTGCACTCTACATTGGATAAACTGGACAAATATTATGCAGAAGAGTAAACCCAGTCTGATATCAGAGACAGCATTAACAAAAGCCAGAGATGGAATACTGTGACTCCCTGAAACATTCTGTCACAGTGACTTCTGGGGGAGTAATGGCGAATGCAACTACCTCAGTGTTAATATAGTAGTTCAAACATTCTATCAAGGAAGTATGTAGAAATGACTGTCTGAAGCCAAAAGTTCCAAAATGTGCAATCTTTTGGTGATATCATTGTCTTACTCCTCCTAATAATGGGTCTCCCATTAACAAAGTTTCCACTTGAGCAAAACAGCAATCTGACTGGTGCATTTTAGATTGAAATATACTCTAGTACTGATACACAGCAACCCCTAGCGGGTGACAGAATTAAAATGAAATGAACTCCCTGTGACTATGAATAAGTGTCCATGGACATTTTCTCATGTGATGAGAAAAGAAATATGCACACATAAGCCAGCTCTGGATCAAAGCCCAGCAATGTATGAACATGCTAGAACAACAGCCAGAACAGCACTGAAAATGACCAGCCACTTACGGATTATCAATTTCCTCATGCAGAACATTCAGAGTATAATACTCCTGGCCCTGAAAGTAGTAGCCATGGAGGTATTCGGTGAGAGTCTTCCTCCAGCTGACATACATCAGATTGCAGATAAACTGGTCTAAACTCTTCAGCTGAGAGAGAGAGAGAGAGAGAGGGAGAACTGAAAATCAAATATGGGGAGATACAACATTCAAAGGGAACATTTTCTTGGATGTTCTGTGAGCAAATAGCCACATTTTTTGAGGCAGACTGTAAAGATTACTTTTATTATTTCCAATCCAATGGAAATAATAAAGAAATTATGTAAAGGAGTTGGGACTTGGTCTGTCTGTTCATTAGCACACTCCAAAAACTGAATAGGCAGGACCAAATTTGGGGCAGAAGGAGAAACCAGTAAAAGAAAAATCTGGTTTTAGAAACTTGCCATGTAAAGCCAGGATTGTAGAGAAAAAATCCAGAACCCCCCCCTCCCCCCAGTGGATACCTATCGGGAGAGGCAGATGAACACCAGCTCAAACTAAACAGCTCATCCTAAGCCTCCCCCAATCACATGACAGACAGCAGAACATATGCACCCTATCTCATGGTTCCTGGTGCATGCAAACACACACGTGTAAGCCCATGGCTAGTAAAGGTGTAGGAAAGAATATTAGAAGCCATGCCATGTGTGGTTTATTCCCTTGTTTTGGAAGCAAATTATAGTTTAAGCAACTCGAACCTTAGTGGTTTTTCTGAGTAATTCATAAACAGAATACAAATGTATGCTTTGGGGCCCTACAGTTCTTCCCAAAAGTTATGGGAAGCTTCTCTGCTCTTTGAGTTAGCCTAAAATGGATTTGAACATTCTTGTAAGTGATACATCTTTGTTTTTTTCTGGACAAAGAACTAGTAGCATAAGGAATATTCTTTAATCCCTTGATGCACAGGTTCTTTTGGTTAACCCACAACAAGTCAGATTCAATCTGATGCATACCACAGGACAAATGCAGCCAAGGAACTTTTTCAGATAGTCTCACTTTCAGTTTAATGAGTTATGTATAGCTGGTAACAACACAACCCAGAAAAAGCTGACAGCAGTTTGGGTTTGTACATATCTATGCCTGCTTCTGTTCAGGCACACCATCTCATCCTGTTCCCTTTGTGGTAGATTGGCCATTGCATGTAACATATTAGACTGCAGGGCTGTGATTTTTTTTAAAAAATCCTGCCTTTATTATTTTTATAAATCACTCAAGGCAGCAAACATATCTAATAGTCCTTCCTCCTCCTATTTTCCCCACAACAACAACAACCCTGTGAGAGATACGTTGGGCTGAGAGAGAGTGGCCCAAAGTCATCCAGTCGGCTTTCATGCCTAAGGTGGGACTAGAACTCACAGTCTCTAGCCTTAAGCACTAGACCAAACAGGCTCTCCTTTTAATTTATTTATACCAGTTTGCATGCCACCTACTCACTAGACTCTATACTAGCAATTAATGTTACCTTTGACCATCAATATGAACCTTTAACACTTCACTCAAGGGTTACAACAGTATAAAATATGAAATGAGTGAAAGATCATAATATCAGAGACTGAGTGCCATGGGAGGAGTTCCAAGTTATGTTTAAGGCAGCTGATTTGCAATATGTACCTTGCTCATACAGCAGGCTAATTTTCATTATAGTCAGTGGTCTACATTAAGTAGATATTAACAGGGAATATATTTACAAAGAAATTATTTATTTTGTAGTGACCTTTCATCTATCAACATACTAAAACAATCAACACATCCATCCTTTCTTTAAAAAAGTGTTGGACAATGATTTCAATTATTTCTGTAACTTTTATGAATCACTGGAAGTAACACCAGCTAGCTAACTTGATCTTGGAAAAACTAAATGGAGTCAGTATTTGGATGAGAGACCACCAAAAAATATAGGATTGTAGGCTAGGCTGGGAAGTTGAAAAAAAATCCCAAAGTCGGTAATAGTAAGCCCCTTATTTCTTACATCAAGAAAACTGTATGGGTGTGTCTACAGAAGTCATGAGAAATGGAGCTTGCCTCAAGAGAGGCTTTATAATGGTGATATACCTGTAATAGTTGATTTTTTGGAAGGCAGTCTAAAAGCGATTTTAAAAGTGTAAGTAGTTTCTGGGGAAGAAGTGAGCCTTTGTTGCAAATGTAGAATCCTGATTCAAATTGCAAGTGGAGGGTCTGATTTTTCCTCCATAATAAAAGTAGGAGCATGATATAAACTTCTTCAAAATGTAACTACAGTATTGCTTTATACTGTTTGAACTTTAGGATGAGCACTTGAAGTGTTTGGAGAGCAAGCCTATATGAGAGGGATGATGCAAAGGATCACCCTACTTGGGCTGCAAAAATCTGGACAGTAAGGATACATAAAGCCTCTATTTCTTTGCTTCCATCTAGTGGACATCTGAATTTCTGCAGCCTATGTATGCTAGGCCTTATGTGTGTTCTAGTTGTTTTTTTTACTAATTTCTATTATTTTATAAGTGAAATTAACAGACCCTCCCCACAAAATAGCAATAATAAAAAAGTAATGAACTGTCAAAGAAAGGAGAACAGAAGATCCATATACTGTCCCAATGAAGAATATTAATACATAGGAAGCTCAATCTTTTAACATGTCATTGGATGTAGACCTTATAAAAGCATAATGCTCCATTTTCTCATTCCTGCAATAAACAGACATTTCAGAGATTGACAGAGAACACATCCTTTGAAACCACTCTTTAACATATAAAGACTTTATACATGTGTTCTAGTTGTCTTCCTAACCTTTTCCTCCCCTTACAAGAAAAAAAATTTCTCTTACCATAGAGTTGAGTACAATGAGAATCAGAGCAACTGCTGTCACCTTATGGAATTCGTAAAGGTTTTTGTTTCCCAGAACTGAGAAATACTGACTGGGAATCAGTCCCACCTGGTAAATGACCAGTTGATCTAGGAGAGGTAGGAGAAACATTTTTAAAAGCATAAGCTCCAAAGGTACGCCAGTAAAAAGAGAATAATCCTGGATTATGGCAAAAAGAAACATACAAAATGATTTGTCTTAGCAGTCTATTCACTTACTCAACAAAGCAACTACAAGCAAGGTTAGAAACATCAGCACATTCTTGGAGGTGAAGGTAGGAAATAAAATTGTTTGGATCTTTAGGAATCGGTGGAGGAACTGACGATCCAGCTGGGGCCTGGGAGAAAGGTAAGAGACAAGGAAAGTTATAAAGCTGAACTGCTGGCAAGGAAATGTCACTGCCACACAAACACTCCATTCCGCTCAGTTCACGTCTAAGCTGACTGAAATTTGGAAAAAGCCTCACTAGAACAGGAACAGAAGGGGCTTCATTTCTGAGCTTGCCAAGGCTGTCCCAGATATCTTGGTAAGCATGAGGCCAATGGGACTAGTATCTAAACGTTACTTCAACACTGGGGATAGAATATGTAGAACAGCTGCATCTTTGTTTCAGATGTATGTCACATACAACACTGCCTGCAACCAAACAGTTTCCACAAAATCAAACCATTTGGCCAGCCTGGGGCAGGGCTCCAAATGCACAGATCATATATAAATGCAGAACTATATCATACAGGGTGGACTGTTAGCAATGAGTCCCCCCACACCCCCAATACTTTATATGGAAGAGGAGCTCTACATATGTACATTGGTGCATGCACAGCAACAGGCTAGGAAAGGGTTTGTTTTTTTTAATCCACTTCAGAGAGTGTGAGGGAAACAGTAAAAGGATACATACTGGCTATGGGGACACATGCCTTCCTCATTTGCTGCTTAGCTTGCTGCAATTTGCTCTAAGTGGGGCTTCCTTGAAGGAGATTTGGAAGCTGCAGCTGGCACAAAATGCAGCAGCCAGTTTAGTAGAGTAGGGTTTTTGAAAGAAGAACTTTCTTCTTTCAAAACAAGAACTTGATGAAGTTCAGTGAGAAACAAAGGGGGAAAAGTCCACTCAAGCACTACAATTTTCTGCCACTAGAGCTTTGCCTCTTGATTAAAGGTTTGGTTATTTTTTTTCTAACAGATTCTGCAGCCTGAAAAAGTAAATGTAAAACAAAAACCACCTGTCGTAGAGTAACACCAATTTTCTGGGACTGTACTGGCTGCCAGTAGACTTCCAAATCCCATTCAAGGTGTCGGTTATTACTTATCAAGGCCTTTATGGCTTAAGTGCTTGTTGTCTTTGGGACCTTCTGCTCCAGGTAGAATCTCCCCTTGCAATTCATTCTGATCAGAAGGGCATGCTGTGGATCTCTGCCCTACCCCCAGCCCCAATTTTGGGATGTGAAGGAAGTGGAAGCTGGAAACCGGCGTTCTCAGTCATAGCTCCCATCCTCTGACGTTGGCCCTTTTCCTGTAATCACTCCTAAGCAGCAGCTGCTGAGTGAGAGCAGGTTCTCTAAGGGCTGAGATGTTTTAAACTTGTGTTTTATTCTGTTGGTTATAAATCACGTACGTCAATGTTTTTCAACCTTGGCAACTTTAAGATGTGTGGACTTCAACCGCCAGAATTCCCCAGCCAGCTGAAGTCCACACATCTTAAAGCTGCCAAGGCTGAAAAACAGCGAGCTATAGGTATACACACCCATCACGACACTCCCTTCTGAAGTAAGCAGCGTTATATGAAGCACAGAAAAAGAGTAAAAAGTCTTTAAGACCAACCTTAAACCTACTACGTTTCTCCGCTTTCTCTGTACTGTAGTGCCTACTACTGAAACCCACCACCGCTCTCACCCCATCCCCCTCGGTCCCGGAACCCTGCCGACTGCACGGTCGGCACGAGAACGACTGCAACTCGATGGCTCTTTGCCCACCTTCTCCGTTCCTAAGGGGCTCCAACTCACTGGCTCCCTTTTCCGTACTCGGTTGCGGACCATTCAAAGCACTCACCGGACAGTTTCCCGAGCCGTTTCCCCGGGAGCCATGAATGAACTGCGCCTACCAAGAGCAAAACAGAGCCTCCCAGCCTCCAGCCGGGATCGCGCCAGGGAAGGGCTCGTGAGTTCCCCGCCCCTTCAAGGCTCCGATTCTAGCCCCGCCCAGCCT